GACGTGCTGAGATTCGATTGAGAGGCTGGGAGTTCCGGCAAGTCCCTGTTCCATGTGGAGGTGCTAACGTTTGACCCTACACCACAGACACGTAACCTTCAGCCACAACTACTGACTAACTAAGCACCCAAGAGAATAAAAAACACCTAAATATCTATTATAATTATATTTATTTCTTGTTGGAAACAATAAGCCAAAAATAAATCACCCGAACACTGACCAGTTCTCCCTTCCTGTCAGTTTTAATGTGTGCCCATAGTGAAGTTATACGTTGTGTCTTAAGTATCTCTCACCTCATGTGATTGATTTACACTGAGCTAATGCCTTTCCAACAGCTTTAGTAGAGACCAGCTCAGTGTTAAATAAATAAGAAAGCAAACAAGGTAGATTTGGAATAAAGTGCTGCATATGATCCACATTAAGATATTCTGTTTATTTTTTTTCATTAGACTAATCCATGTTTTGTCAGATTGTTTATGTTTAGTAGATATTTTTTTGTCTTTTGTTTCTTGGAGACCTTGGTGTTTTCATATTACAACTCCTAGTATTAATGCTCACATTCTTTAATTTTTATTTAATTTGCATATGTTTTTGAACTGATATTTATTAACTTTTAATTGTTTAATCTTAAATAATCAAATTGCAATGGTATAAAACCATTTGAATGTTTTTTAAACATTAAAGCTAGGATTCACAAACATATATATGGATATGTTCTTCAGACTAACCATGCATATTTATAGCTCAAGATCAATCCCACGTCCTGCCCACTGTTTTTTTAAAAACTTAATAACGTATTATTTTAACTTCTACAATAGCAATTACCCCCAATAAGCTAGCTAGCTTCTCCCGGGATATAGGTTTTTTTTCAACTGTACTACAAAAACATATTCCTGGTAGAGAGCAATGAATGAATGAATGAGTTAAATTTAGAGATGAATACAAAATATATATAAATAAAAAAAAATTTTTGCCAAGTTTTTAAACAAAAAGTCATGTTTCGGTGTAGTAAATTAAACAACTTGCAGGACGCAGCCATCTTTTTATAGAGTCTGTTGATGAGACAAGGAGCTGCTGGGACTTGCTATTGTGAGAGATCATAAATATAGTTGTCAAATGATACTAACTCCCCTATTCCCAAAGTAAGTTATCTTATCACAGCACCAGAATCGTCTTTCTAATCCATGCCACCCTTGGGAGGCTACAGGAATCAAAGAGGATTGATCTCATGTTTCACTTCTTTCCTGCATGTCATTCTCACAGACGGCAGCTTTGAAGCACAATTACATCTCATATTAGTTTGATCATATAAACGTCTGAATAAAACTGGGGCAATTTAATGTCATCTAAAGGCAATGATGGATACTGTGTCTTTGAAAAGGGTATTAATTGTGTGGTACACATTAAGGTGTATTATTTTACTTGTTGCTTGTTTTCTTAATTATTAGTGTGTTTTTCTGTTTGTTTTTTAGGCTTAGGTCCTGAAGAGGCAACTGGAATGTTCTTTTCCTCTCTAAACAGAAGGGACAGGGTAAACCTGGTGGCAAATCATAGTAGATTGGAAATGGTCATTTTAGGAATGGATGAGCTAAGGCTGGTTACGTCAGGGAACAATGGGTGGAGGTTGGGGGGATGGCTGCAGCACTTCCACTGATGATGTATGGAAAGTTTAATCCATGGGAGGTTGTCCAGGAAATTAGTCTGAATAAAAGCTGTAGTGCACATCTACCTATTGTTACGTGGCGAATCTTCATACGTATTTATAGAGAGACTCCGTCATCCTCTTAGAGCTCCGTCACCGTCCACTTATGAGGAACGGAGAGTTGGTTCTTGCTTTATTGCAGTTATAATGTCAGTGTCGAGAGCAGCACTGAGACCTTTTAAAAAGCAATCATTTCTATCATTTTTGTTTTATCTGCCTCTTAAGTGAGCCCAGACCCGCACGCCGTTAGCCTCGCAGAAACTGCGATCTATCACAGGCGGGGGCACGTATACGTACATGTACACGCAATTCTTCCTTTTATTCTTGATCCCCATTCACACACACTTTAATGTGTGATGTTGTGTATCTGGGTCAGGGACAAGCTGCCCTGTCAACAGTTGGCTGAGTGAGGCAGAGAACACCTTGACTCCCCCAGCTGTCACAACAGCCTCATGGTGATGTGCAATTTATTTACCCCTTGCCATTCAATTTCCCCCTACCATCCCCATTAGTCTCTGTGTGTTAACCATTTCAGCACCACTTTCACAGAGAATCCCTGCCTGTAGCTGAGCACGTCACTTCATCTAACTTAGAGGAGGCTATTGTTTACCATTATTTTACACATGCTTACATATACTATATATATACATATTTATATATATGTATTATTTTATATATGTATACTGTATATGTGTGTGTGTATATATATTTATACATATATATAAAATAAAATAACTCACTTTTAACTTATTCATGGTATTTATGTGAGACATTACAAAATAACACTTTGTCACTAGTAGATCTGACTTAAACAGAACTACAGAAACAAAACAGTTTTCAAATGACCATCAAGTATAAAAAAAATTCTAAATTTATGTAATTAACCAACCCAGCTAACTTAAATATCACACATCCAAGACATGCGGTTTAACCTGTCTTGCATCATCAATATAACCGGTGTGAAAAGATAAATATGTGTATCTATTGTAGACCTGTTGAACAAAGAGGAACATCCTCCCAGACTTGTTTCCAACTACGGCAGCAAACTCCCAGTAGTTTGTCTTATATAAGAGAGTCATGTTCTCAACCCCAACCTGCTCATACACCTGCATCATACTCTATCTATATTTGATGTTCTTTCCTGGAAACATTTTCTTCATTTTTCCACTTCGGTCATGCTTTTTTTTTTTTTTTTTTTGCAGTGATACGGCTCTTGGGGATTATGTTATTTTTCTTCGTTGCCTTATTTTGCCAGGTTACCTATTTTTTCTGTGATGGTTATTTATGAGTATGTGTATAGAGGGTAGTGATGAGACAGTGCTGTGCTGCTGTGAGCACAGATTTGGGTTTCTTTCATCTCTGCCGCTGTGTCATTAGACGACCAGTGCTGTGTCATTACTGAGTGCAGGCATGGATGGAAGCAGCAGGAGAACAAGGTTCATCTCTCTCCCCCTCTCTCTCTCTCTCTCTCTCTCTCTCTCTCTCTCACTCACTCACTCTTAAAGATCATCCTCCTCCGCATCCCATCCTAGCCCTCCCCCCTCCATCCTTCTGTCTGTCCATTTATCTATGTCTATTCATTCACATTCATTTTGTCTCTCTCTTTATCTCTCTCTCTCTCTCTCTCTCTCCTTTGCTTTCTTTCTCTTTGTACATGCAAATGAAGAAACACTAGGTCTGGCAGTGAAGAAGCACTGTCGGACCTAGGTTTCCAATTTAGAACCATTTACTTTTTTTAGTGATTTAAATTTGCTATTTCAGTTTCCTAAAGTAATTTCTGAATGAACGACCAAGTCAGGAGTTTCAATTGCTTGGTTTTTTAACCTTTCACTGGTTTGTCTCTTGTTCACTGGGTTGTCTCTTGTCCACTGACTTGTTTTTCCATTTCTACAGCACTTTTCCTTCACAACAATTACTCGACTGTATACGGAGGTGGTGTTGGTGTGGAGATGCCGCCCACATATGGTTATTTGATATCTAGTTTTAAAATCCTTTCCGTTAGGTTTAGATGCTTCGTCTAACCCTCCTCACTGGGGCAAAAGGAAAAAACTATTTTTCAATTCATCCTTTCCGTAGGCTGAAGAAAAACACATGAAGGGCAAAAAGACCTGGAAGGCAGTCTGTGCCTGGGTGTTGAAGAGGCTTTGGGAACTTTGATGCACAAAGAAAACAGAGGACTGTTGAGTCTTAGGAGGAGCCCATGCTCATTTTAGTGTCCTTTGGAGGTGACATGAAGCTCAGGACGCACATATACACAGAATATTTGGTTGTAAAAGCAGAAATTAACTTGATGGAAAGTAAACATTAACGCTTTTAGCACATTTTTTCAGACTCACCACTGTGGAGCTTTTCCAATGCTAACACATTAGTGATTATCTCATTAGAGCCAGTAGAACTGTGACTTTTATATACATATATTTAGTTTTGTCATCTTATTGCCATTTTGGAGTCTTTTCACCCAGACCGGTTTTATTTCCCAGTTAATCTTAAAGATATAAAATTCACTAGAGGTATCTTGGTAATGTTGAAATAAATGTTTCTTCTTTTTTTTAAATAGAAACGTTTTGTATTGATTGTCGATGCACTGAATTGGCATGGTAATTTTATGTATTTCTCTTAATAGGTTTTTTCTAAACCCAGCAAGAACTCAGCATGTATACGAATATAATACAAAATATTTCACACAGGCTTCCCATGTGCACAGCGACTGCCAACTGCTGTGCTGTGACATTAATGTGCCGTGTTAAATCATCAGGTGTGCAGTGGAAACATTTCCAATTTAACTTTATTGGTCTGAAAACTATCAACAATTTACTGCAAATGATTTGTCTTCATTCATTTATAGGACAGTGACAGGCAGAACAATTAAATTCTCTCACACTAGGTGGTAGTAGAGGGCTATAAAACAAAAGAATAGTGAGACTATGAGTGTATCTTTCTTCAATTCCTGCCAGTATATCGGCATGTGTTCATCAGCAATGGATGCAACATCTTACAACACACACACAAACACACACACACACACACACACACACACAGATACACTCAGAGCTGTTTACCTTATGTAGCTGTTACAAATATATGCGTAATCCTTTCCTAACACTAATCCAAAAAACTGTTCCCCCATGTATAGCATTGCCAACACAGGCACACTCACGCTCAATAATCAATTTGAAACTTAATTGTCTAATAAAAACTACCGTACTACTACTACATCAGAGTGTGTCTGCCTGCTCCTCT